TTACTATTTTAATATTTAGTAAATTTTAAAAGGTTGTGAATTGCAAACTTACCAATAATCTTTAGACAAATATCTTCTAATTTATTCTTGTGATTTTCAATGTTATTAGGATCACTATCAAATTCCTTTAAGAGATTTTCACAGTCTTCTAGAATATTTGCAACAGAATTTTTTAATTGGTCCCTTGACTGTTCAGCCAAGTTGGCTAGTTCATGCATATGAACTATTTCTATTAAATTAACATTTAATTTCTCTGTCAAACTTCTCAATTTCCTTTGTAAAGATCGATTTTTTTCTTGCAATTCTATATGCTGCGGAGGACAAAAGTTTTCAACATTACCCTGATTAAGCATAGCTGATTGTAATTCACGTATAATCTTTTTAAGATTATTGATTTCAGCTATATGAGGATCTTGATTTACTATTGGCTTATTTTTTATTTTCTTTGCACGATCTGCATACCTTAATGTACTAGTGGTTTCATTTAAATTATAATCTAGAATATTGATTTAATTTATGAAATTTATCTCAAGCTTATACCATTATAACATAAGAAACAATAGATTATATTACAAAATTGACAAAAACTTTCTCATGTACCTGCAGGGCTTACACAAGCAATCATTAATGTAACTGAATTCCCTCCAAGTGAATCCTGTAGCAAACGAGTCAATTTGCTATCTCTATATCCAATGTATGTGGAACTTCCACCTTCACCCAATTGTGAAATTACATTTCCTAAAGCTAATAAGCCTTTGTTAATGTTAATGCCTTCTTTAAATCTTTCCCCAGTTGCTTGTGTTTTTTTACTTCGTTCCGAACCAGCCAAATCAACAAGATGAAATTTAGCAAATTTAGCAGTATTCCTAGTCCAAAAAGAATATGTTAAAAGTTATCTCAAAACTAAATAAATATGGTACAAAAGAATTAAACCAACGGATCATTTTTCTTTTGTTGATTTACAGATATTGTAAATATAGCATGACTACGACTACTTTGTACATTCATGGCAGTAGCCCCAGTAGCTCTGCATATAGAACCATCTGCCAGTAACTGTAATGTTTCTTGCGTACTTTTAACTGGAATTTCTGATATTCCAATTACCTTGATACCTCTTCCATCTTCTCTAATATCCACAATACATTGATTACGTGGCTTGTTTGATAATAAATCATACAACTGTTCTTTGTACAATTCCATGAAAGCAACTGTCACTTTAAAATCCCAATCTTCTTTAGCTTGGATTATTTCAAATATATCATTAACAGCTCTTGGAATAATTCCACAATTTACATCATTTTCATCATAATTTGTGCCCATAGAAAATGTTTTACCACTCCCAGTCTGACCATATGCCAAGATTGTAACATTATAGCCTATGAAAATATTGATAAATAATGTAAATTTATAAAATTTATAACTTAAACTAAAATACGATAGTTTACCTTCAAATATATTTAGAACCATATTTTTTATTGCATTATTATAAAATTCTTCG